CTCGAACCCCGGTCGAGTCGAATCGGTAGTCACGCCTCAGAAAGGCGATGAGTGGCAACGACTCATGATACCCCTACACTATCAATGCTTGTATGTTCGATGCGCTCACCATAGCATAGATAATCACTTATTTTTGTCCTGTCGGCGTTTGTTTGAGTCCTCATCTCTGCCACACACACGCACACACCAACGCAAAGGCAAGGATCAACTTTCAATGGCATACAGCTTGGATCGACGCTACAACCCAAGGCTCTGGCGATACTGGATGAAACCTGCCAGATTCTCGAGCGCCTCCTCGGCACTGGCGCGCAGCGAGATCTGCTTGCGTCGGTCGATCGTCCTCGCCAGCGCCTTGCACCGGAACAGCGTGAGCCGCATCCTAGCCAACAGACCCTGTTCGCGGAAGCCATGTGCATCGTACGTCGCCGTTTCGTCCGCATACACGTCGATCAACCCATTGATCGCCGCAACCATGCTCTCCGGCGTCGTTCCAGCAGAGCCACGCTCGGGGATGGCCTCGAGCAGCGATACGAGCCAGTTGCCAATGTGAGCGTTGAGGTTCGCATGCACGGCGGGCGCACGAGCGATGGTCGAGAGCAGCAGCACGCACTTGACGCGCATCGCATCGCTCCTCGCCGACGCATACCCCGCCACCAGCGCCGAAACCACCTCGCTAGACACCGCACCCGCGTCCGTCACCCTCACCGCCGGCTCGGCCGAAAGCGCAACGTTGCCTTCGACGATTCGTGCCACCGACCACATGGTGCCAATGCACGTCTCGACCATCGCCATCCCATCGCCACCCTCGCCCTCTCCCACCTCCCTGCCGTCTGCACTGCCGATCGAGCCCACCACGCCATCCTCGACAATCGCGCCCGCGCCCGCCCCGGCAACGGCAGGAACACTTGCACATCCCTTGGCGATGTCAAACAGACTCGTCCACACGCTGCCCAGCGTGCGTGCAGGCGTGGGCTGCTGCGTCCACGCGCGCAACGCCGCAATGCGTCGCTGCAGCTTCGGTTCCGTTGCGGGCTGCGACGGTGGCGGCGGCGAAAACGACGCGAGCCTGAGCATCAGATTGTTGAGCACCGACAGCGAGCGCAGATGCAGCCCACGCAGCTGTCCCGACGTCGTCGCATCCGCATCCGCACTCTTGGCCCCCGACGACAGCGACGGAAAGCTCGCCTCAAACGGCCTAGCCAGTGCCAACAGCGCGTCGGTGAGCGACGAGGCATCGCCAAAGATCGCACACAGCACGGGCGCATACGCCTCGAACGGCATGCTTCCACTGCGCTTGACCGCGTCGGCAAAGGTATCCTTTTGCTCCGCATCCACGCGCATGTCGTCGTCACCCGCCTCGTCGTTGAGCATGGCCTCCATGTCCTCGGGCACGTCGTCGTCTTCATCGCCCATGTCCATATCCTCGTCACCGGCGTCTTCGGCATCGAGGTCCTCGAGCCACTCGCCCTCATCGCCATCTGCTCCCGCACGCGCGTCGAGCGAGCCCGCCATCTCGGCCACCACCTCGAGCGCAAGCATGAGCGTCTGCGCCTGCTCCTCGGCCTTGCGCTGCATCTTGGCGCGCACCGCCGCCTCGTCTGCGTCCTTGGATCCGTCGAGCGACACGTCGCCCACATCGCCTCGACCATCGAGATCGTGCGCGAGCCGCGTCATATCCACGCCCGCCAGCAGCCGCGTAAGCGTCGGCAGCACCGTCGCCTCCTCGAATCGCTTCAGCGACACACCCTGCGATGCATCGAGTTTTCCCTTCTCGCTCTTGCTCGCCACACCCGCGCCAGACGACGCGGGCAGAAAGACGTTGTCCGAGCTAAAAGCGGCGGCGGCGGCGTTCTTGCGCGCCTTGCCGCTCGACCGTGTCGAGGCGTGCGAGTCGACGGCTGCTGCCACATTGCGCAGCACGCCGGCACAAAGCACACCCAGCATGGTCGACTGCGACAGAATGTAGCGCTTGAGCTTGTCGATGCCCGACTGGTCCGTCTGCACGCATGCCTCGAGCAGCGTCACGGCCGTCTGAATAGCGGCGAGGCGGCGCGTAGCCGCCTCTGGCTGCTCGTCAATCGACTGCACCACGCGCACGTCGATCGAGACGGATGCCGCCTTCTTCTTGGCAGCCTTGGGAATGTGCGCGGGCATCTTGCGAGAGAGCAGACCATCGACAAAGTCGGCCTCACCGCCATCGGTCAAGGCGCAAAGCGCATTACCTGACGCCAAGGCAAGGTCGAGCAGCAGCGAGAGCTCCTCGTTGGAGAGCACGCCGAGCGCATCGGCCGCATCGTGCGCGGACGAAGACGATGCTCGCGAGCCGTCTGCGCCGGCCGTGGACAGAACAGCAGCGGCTCGGGAGCCGAGGGCGATGGCGGAGGAGAGCCAAGAGGCGAGACCCTCACCGCTCAGTTCGTCATTGGCAGCCGCCGCGCCGACAATGTCGTGATCGAGCCACTTCCACGACACGAGCTTGGCGAAGGCCTTGTCTCCGGACTCGCACAGGCTCCAGACGAGCGTGACGAGGTTGTCGGCCATCTCGACGAGACCTTTGCGCGTGTTGGAGTCGAGGCTGAGGAACGGCTCTGCGGCGCGCACAGCTGCGGGAGCGACCGAGGATGCCGTGTCCATGACTTGATCCGAGGAGCCGTTGGAGGGCTGATGGGATGCAGTGAGCTTGGCCTCGTCGTCTGCCGAGAGGCCCTGACCGGCGAGCTGTTCGAGCGTCTTGCCGAGCGCGGTGGCGAGCTTGGTGGCGTGTCGTTTTTCCTTCTTGTTCATCTTGTCGAGCGGCTTTGCGAGCAGGGCACGTTTGGCCTCGATGTCCTGCTCCTGGGTGGGTGCGTCGTCGACGAACGAAATGGACGGATTGGCGCTGGCGGCGGGGGCGGCGTCGAAGCCAAGCGCATTGCTTGCCCAGCGCAGCGCGGCGAGGATGGCGGGGATGCCGCCCTTGTTGACCAGCTCGTTGCGCACATCGATGCCTGCGTCGACGCAGAGGTTGCGGAGCGCGCCGCTGGCTTCGCGGCGCACGTCGACCTCGGTGTGGGAGTGGAGCGCGAGGATGAGCCTGCCGACGAGGTTGTGCGAGAGGAGGAGCTTGCGATGCAGCTTGACCTCTGCCGCGGACTGAGTAGGACTGACGGAGAGCAGGAGCGAGACCGAAGCGAGCGCCCACACCTTGTCGGCGAGGTTGATGGGTGAAGCGGACGGCGCGTCGGGAGCAGGCAGGTTGGCGAGCAGCGGGATGATATCGTTGGTCGCCGCAGCGTTGCTGGCAGCCTTGGCAGCCTTGCTAGACTTGGGACTGGAGGTGTCGGCGCCGGCACCCTTTGCAGCCTGCTGGAGTGCGTCGAGCGTCGAGGATGCCACGCTGGCGGGCGATGCCGCGGCGCTGCTCGATGCCGACGACTTGGCGAGTGGATTGTGGCGATGCAGCTTGCGCTGATGGCGCTGCGGATCGAATCCGGACTTGGGCATGACGGCGGATCAGCTGCGGCAAGTCCCGAGAATGAGTTTGTGTGTGAGTGGCGTGGGAAAGGAAGGAAGATCGATGTGATGCTAGGAAGGCCTTCCCCCAGAGTCGGAGGTCTTCCGAATGAAAGAAGCGGCTCTCGAGAATTTTTGGCTCTCCCAGCAGCGTGAGAAGAAGCTGCAGCGCTCAGACCCTTTTCTTCGAAAAGCAGCGGGCAGAAGAAAAAAAATCGGAGCCCACCGCACGCAGACAAAATTTCGTCGGCCGGCCACGCCTCACTCGCTGATGTGGAGCTACTGAATGGGGGCGAAAAAAGAAGCATGTGTTAAGCTTGCTCTCACTCACAAATCAAGATGATCGGCCGGCGTCTATATGGCCCTCGACTCATGCTGCACAGAACGACAGAGGCCAGAGCTGGAATCTATTGATATTGGTGATGCGCTAACGATGACGACGCACTATCAGAGAGGCACAGAGAGGCAGCACACTACTGCTTGTCGGCAACACCCTCGTACGAGCAGATGGCCTGCACCTTGGCAGCCGAGGCGCTCGAGGTGTCGAACTTGTACCCGAGCCACTCCTTGGCAAGCTTGCGGGCGAGTTCGAGGCCGACGACGCGTTGACCCATGCAGAGCACCTGGGCGTCGTTGGAGAGGATGGCGCGCTCGACCGAGTACGAGTCGTGCGCGGTGACGGCACGCACGCCGTTGACCTTGTTGGCGGCGATGGCGACGCCGAGGCCCGTGCCGCAGATGAGCAGCGCACGGTCAACTTCGCCGCTGGCCACCTTGCGTGCGGCGGTGACGGCGACGTGAGGGTAGGCGGTCTTGTCTGCGTTCGACGGCACACCGACGTCGATCACCGACTCCACACGAGGGTCGGCCTCGAAATCCTTGATGAGCGCGTTCTTGTAGTCGACACCGGCTTCGTCGCAGCCGAATGCGATCTTCCACTTTTGAGGGGCGGCCATTTTGTCGAGGTTGATGAGGGAATGGGTTGATGGATTGGTGTGCGGGTGCGTGTGTTGGTTGGGAGGGAAGAATAGTGGAGACAGTCGTTCTTCTGATGTATCCCCGGCAGTGACTCGTTGGTCCGGGATCCTTTCGCCACTCGTCGTGCAGTGGACACCAGCTACTGTGAACCGCTGCGACTGGGAATGTGCCCCAATGCTGAGCCAGCTTTGGCAAGGCTCGTCGGCGTTTTCCGATTCGACCCAACGTGTGTGTGCGGGCACAGCTGTGGAGGCCAAAGCGTGTGTGTGGGGGCGCCTGCAGCTCTGTGTGGGAGAGGCGGAGAGCGCTCTGGCTCGAGCTCGAATTTAGCGTCGACGGCCGGCATTTCAGCCCGAATTCCCTGGCGCTGTGCCAAATCCTCGGCGTCTTGCCGCTCTGGCCCGGACTCAGCGCTCGGCCGCCTTTGCCACACACGGGGCAGCCGAGCGAGCGTGGGGTGTGATCACGGCCCTCGGCGTTTTCTGGCCATCTTGGCCGTCCCTCGCCTCGGATTCACGCGGGTCGGTCACAGAGTGTATGGCTGCTGTTCGCTCGAGCCGAACGCGAGAGTCTGCTCCGCAGTGGCTATCCGAAAGATAGACTGAGCCAAGAAGATTCGGCCGTCGCGTCGTGGCCAAGCCAAGGCCATCCTCATCCCATCGTCTTCATCCGTCACCCAACCGTCACCACTTCATTTCGCCAACTCGGACCCGTCAACATGTCGTCGCCATCATCATCTCGCCGCCCGCTCGTGGGCGTCTCGTTCAAGATGTACTTTGACGTGCCTAAGACGCGCGAGTATGTGGACGAGTCGATCTCGCTGCTCTCGTCCGCTCTGCCATCGCTCTCCAAGCCGACGGACATCTTTGTCATCCCAGACTTTGTCACGCTCAGCTCGGTCGCCAGCCAGATCTCGTCCGCACAGTCTCCGCTGCTTCTGGGCGCGCAGGATGTGCACTCGCAGGACTTTGGCGCCTTCACGGGCGAAGTGTCTCCCAAGGTGCTCTCGCAGGTCGGCGTCAAGTTTGTCGAGATCGGCCATGCCGAGCGCCGCCGCTACTTTGGTGAGACGGACGAAGACGTAGCCAACAAGGCCGCTGCCATTGCCAACAATGGTATGGTGCCGCTCATCTGCATCGGCGAAGTGTCGCGCCCGCGCAACCTCGACGAGCTCTCGATCGACGATGTGGATGCCGTCGTCGAAGAGTGCTGGCGTCAGATCCGTCCCGCGCTCGAAGGCATGCCCTCGGATGCCGAGGTGGTGCTTGCATACGAGCCAGTCTGGGCCATCGGAAAGGCCGAACCCGCCTCGCCCGAGTACGTCGTCAAAATCACAAAGGCGCTCAGGAGGCGGTACAACAAGGAGTACGTCGGCGCAGACAAGCGAACCGACGAATCCATGCGCATTCTCTACGGCGGCTCTGCGGGCCCCGGTCTGTTCGCAAAGATCAGCCAAGGTGTGGATGGACTCTTCCTCGGCAGGTTCGCTCACAAGCCCCAGGCCTTCATCGACACCATCAAGGAGATCGCCGGCACCAACTGAGCCTCCCTCCCATCGCCGCGTGCTGTGTCTGTAACTATTCCATACCCCTGCGTGCATCCGAAAAGAGATTTCATCGTTGCCTTTCGCGTGCTCACGTCCGCCCGTGTCGAAAGAGGGAGAAAGATTGTACTTGGATTGCAGAGAGGCCGTACGATGTGCCGGCTGAGCTTGAGCAGGTTTAAGGCTCCTTGACCGAAAGCTCGCCCTCCTTGAACTGCCTTGCCCACTATCACATCGCCAATGCATACCAAAATCGAATCGTCAGCTTATCTTTGCCCTTATACACGACTCGGCCGTACATGCACACTTACGTTCATAGATGGGATGGGCTTGGTAGGAGCGTTGTGCCTCCACTGTATCGCGGCGCAAACCAAAGTCAGAAACCTCGTACTACCCACGATGCCGAGTCGGGAGCAGGAAAACTTACCTCTCGGTCTGCGCTGTACGTCCACACGCCGTATGTTGCGAGTGCGATGCCGACGGCACACACGGCCGTATTCGAAACCCAGTTGTTGGGGCTGCCATAGCACCACCAAGGTCAGTATACCGCTCGAGGCCAAGAGAGGATCGCATCGCAAACGTACCGAGTCCACCAGCCACCTGCGGGCGTCCACACCTCCTTCGGGTAAGGGTATCGAGGTCCAGCTCCCTATCCAACCCCAACCAGAATGCAGCGAGGCGACCAACAGTACGATCACAAGTCGTGCGTGCGTGTGCGTGTGTGCATGTGGTCAGCGAGCTACCCTGCGTACAAGCTCCAAGATAGGCAAGGGTGCCAACGTACCATGTTGATCAGATCAGACGCGAGTCGAAAGAGTGCAAGGTGGTTGCTAGTCGATGGTCGCCGTGACTGAGGAGGAGTGTGGGATATGATGGCGCTCCTCGCCCGCTTGCCATTTCCAACGCGAATCTGCGACCCTCTGCGTCGGAGCCGAGCGTCATCGGGCCCATCGGCTCTTCTCGCCTGGAAGTCTAACATCTTGAACCGAATTTTCGCACGCGCGTTCTTCGCAACAACGCTCGGATCATGCCGCCTCGACTCCCACGCCTCAGTCAGTCTTGCGTCGCTATCACTCTGCCGCCACCTTCAACTTGCCATCACGACACTCGTCGGATCACCCGGAGACACACACACGCACACGAGTCATCGCTGCCGCTCTTTGTCACCATGGCGACGTCGCTATTCCAGGTGTCGGGCGATCCGGACACCGATCTCAAGGCAGCTGCGCACTGGCTCGCCGAGCAAAGACGGCGGCCCATCCGCGCGCCTCACAAGACCGTCCGATACGGCGAGCTGATCATCTCCAAGGGCGGCCTCACCTCACTCCCCGACGACGAGCTCTGGTCGCTTCTCGAACAGGTCGCCATCGCCGCCATCGAGACGAGCCGCTTCGACCTGGCCGAGCTGTGCATCTCGAGGCTCACCTCGCGCTTCCCGGCGTCGCAGCGTGTGACGTGTCTGCAGGGCATGCTGCTCGAGGGCCGGGGTCCTGCATCGGCAGCCATCGAGTTCTACGACACACAGCTTGCCAAGGACCCCACTTCGCTCGTGCTCTCCCGACGACGCATTGCAGCCATCAAGGCGCTGGGTGAGCCCACGCCCAAACGCGTGGTGGAGGCGTTGAATCGCCATCTCGACACATTCTACAACGACCCGGAAGCATGGCAGGAACTCGCAGAGATCTACGCAGATCACGCCATGTATGCCCAGTCCGCCTTTGCCCTCGAAGAGCTCCTGCTCCAGGTACCGCAAAACACCTTCTTCCACCTCAAGTACGCAGAGACGCTCTACACCAACGGCGACGTCGCACGCGCATACAAGGCCTACCTGCGCGTGCTCGAGCTCTGCCAGAGCGACGCAGCCGCCACCGAAGCCACTGCACAAGGGCCCTGGATCCGCGCCCTGTGGGGCACCAAAGTCGTAAGTTCTTTCCCACGCCCTGCATCCTTCTCCCAGCATTCGGCAGGAAGCTGATCGTGTGACTGTGGCGGACAGACGACCGCGGCGCTTATTGCCACGCCGGCACTCGGCAAAGCTGCACCGGACGACACCATCGATTCGGCCAAGGTCAAGCAGATCGATCAACTCGTCACCACGCTCCTGCTCAATAAGGTCTATACCCCTCAGGCGGTGACGAGCAAGCATCTCCGCGACACGGTTCGCAGCGTCCTAGCCGCCTAGCTTTGTCTCCCCCAGCCTTCTCACTGCAACTCCAGTCATACTTTCGTCCCACCAAGTGGCGCGGGTCTTTTTCGAGTGATGAGGAAACATGAACCCACCCTGGGTTGCCACGGGGAATCCTGGCGTCAGATGGCCCATTCTGCAGGTGTGTGGGGGCATACTCACGCCCACAATGACGATTCGGAGTCTTTTTTGTCTTCCACCACTCACATCGGCTTGACTTGGCCCGGTCTTGTTGATGATGTCGAAATCGTGTGCATCTCGGAGCTTGGCGAACGACGGATGGTCAAATGAATTGCGATGCCAAGCGGATCCCATGGATGCAAAGCCTGGGAAGTTTTCGAGCTCGCCATTCATTGGCGAACCCACCCAGAGTTTGGTGGTGGAGAGCTTCCCACGCCCGACCTCATTTCGCCGTGGTCCGGGCGGGAATGCCTGCACAATCAACGCTGCATCAATGTCGACGTAGCTTTGGTGACAACATGGAGTCGCTGCCTTTTTCATGTGCCCCCCTGCTACTATGTGGGTTTGGCAGCTTCAAGCTATATATATGACCTACTCTTGCCCGCTGAGTTTTGAGATGTATCCATCACTCTTCACAGCTCCTTTTGTGGATTTTGATTCATCATGATCCTCAACAAGTGCTTTATCGCCATCGCCATTGCGCTGGCCTTGACCGTGCCCGGCAGAGCTGACGGTATGTCCAAACACAGTCTGCACGGCTCGACACGAGATGCTGACATTCGAGTGGGGTTTTTTGTAGGCACCAATGTGCTGCAGCGCCGTAGCCAAGCAGGTGCCGGCACCGATCCCGGCAACTCGTTCGATCCCAACAACCGCGGCGGCGTCCCTCCTCCCGTTGGTCAGATTCCTCACCACGGCCACGAGCAGTCGCTTCTGCAGCGCTCTGACCATGACAACCATGGCACCGGCGGCGACCCTGGTCCTGGCCGCCAGCCTCACGCTGCTCTCGAGCGTCGTGCTTGGGCCCATCGTAACGACGATGACAACCGTGGCA